TGGAGGAGCCTGGGTAGGCTCTGGTGGTGGAGGAACGGAAGATGGTGGTGGAGGTGGAGGAGCAGGAACGGAAGATGGTGGTGGTGGAGGTGGTGGGGGAGCAGGGACAGAGGAAGGTGGTGCTGGTATTTTGATTTGGGTTGTTGGCTTAGGTGCTGGCTTGACGGAAGTTGGTACGCCAGTTGGGCAAGGGATGGTGGTAGTCATGGTCGTAGTAATAACTACAACGTTGGACACGGTAACGAACTTCACGCGGGGCGCCTGTTTGGCAGCCAGGGAGCCGGCAACGCAGAGCGCGGTCAACACCAGGGAGGTCTTCATCTTGCGCGGTGGGATTGGATTGCCTTCTTTCTGTTTCCCTCAGTAACGGTCCCAAGGAGTTTCCAGGCTGGTATAAATATTTGAATCCAAGGGGGTATTGGATGGAATGCGTGAGTGCGTGACAGAGGGAGAGTTGCAGGCTTGCTTTGATAGTTTGATAGTTCGCAGGTCAACTGCGAAAAAGTTCGATGACAGGCGATAAATACGCTCTCTGGCCAAGGCAGAGATGCTTTATGGGATAAAAAAGTAATGAGCGAAAGGCTTGCTTAGACACTTTAAAGGAATGGAAAGTGGCTAAGAAGCGGTAGTTGGTGAAGAAGAAAGGCAGTCAAAAGAGAGCGAGGGAAGAGGAAGAGAAGGAAGAGGAGGAGGAAGACGAGCCAGGCGGCGGCAAGGCGAGTAAATATAAGACTCGAAGGCTGGAGCCTTTCTCCTGGATCCCAGGTACCAACCAACTTGAGATTAAGATTGGTCTAGTCAGGGGAGCAAAGGGGACGGGAAGCTGGGGGGGGATGATTCCGTCTCTGCAAAAAAGCATCGAGCGGAGGACCCGCACTGATAATAAGAAGTACCTGAGTATAATAATATTAATAAGTAATGTTAGTTAAGAGTATGGTTCAGTATCGCCCCGTCTGTCTGATAACAAGATGGGACCCTGATATACTCCGTAGTATCAGGGTGGAAGCGGACATATCAATTATGCATCCCGTCCCATGGATATCACGGTAGCGCCGCTCATCTCTTGCGTCGGCTAACCTGCAGCCAAAGCAGAGAAAGTTGAGCAGAGAGGGACATCGAGAAGGCGAAAAAAGGAAGCCAGGAGTAATTTGCGCTGAAACAGCTCAGGGGTTCAACGCAAGAGTCTCTTCTGTCCTCAATAAGGTTGGAGTCATCGAGGCGTCAACTCTGGTTCTTCTGCCCTGTCTTGCCAGGCCTTCTTCCTCTCGATATCGTGGTGTGTTTTCCCGTTCTCCCTGTACCACGATAGAGAAGGCCGGAAGGATGGGAGTCCTGGTGGGAGCGACCCTGGATGCTGATCGGCCCTCCCTCAAGAGCGCCGCTGACGATCGTATATCGTCCAACCCTCTCGTATAGAGGCCGGCCAGATAATAAACTCCTGCGCCATGGCAGTTTTAGCGCGCCTGGTGGAGTGTTCGAGCATGCATGCCTTCATCATCTGCCATCCATCTTTGCCCCTGGGCCAGCCCAGCATAAGAAAAGTAACCACCTGTCGAGCTGGCATACATATTTCATTTTGTTAGATCATAATGTTTGACAAGCGTCCAGTCTGTCAAGCGCGAAGACAGACAAGCCGCCAGTTCATTTCGTTATGCATGGTCCCCATCCTTGGTGCGACAAGAGAGCAAAACCAGCCTTGTTACCATCGTACGCCGTCAACTCACTAACCAGCCAACTAGTCGAGGCTGTAGGAGTCGTGAAGTCTTGATGTCTAGCCCAGAAGCACCGCACCTCTTGTCTCTGCCTCTTGTCTCTCGCGTTTCCTGCTCTTCTTTGCTTTTCTTCCTCTCTGTGCCTGCAGTGGTGAGACGAGGATTCAGGGATTCGTCGGTGTCAGGGGGTGCTGTCTTCAGGGGCTTCTCCGGCGGTTCCATCCTTAACTCTGTATAGATGCGTATAAAAAAGCACAACTCTCGGGCAGCAAGCAAGCAGCCAACAGGCTTCTTGGTCTGGAATTGTCCGATCATCTACTGGCCCTGTCTCTTCCCTGTCTGCATGCATGGACTTTTGCTCTCTCTCTCGCTCTCTGATGCTGTGTTTTCTTTTCCCACGCACGATCCCGTAGGTAAACATGGTAGTTAAATTTGGCAGCCCAGGGGGTCATTTCCCGTTGAACACCTCCCTGTCCCTGCCCTTGTGCTCCGGGTCCGCCATCCGCGATATCAGCTCTCATTTTTTTCTTTCTCTTGCTTTCTTTCTTTCTCCAGCTCGTTTTATTACTTCTCGCGTCATTCATTTTATTCATCGTATGTTGCGTTAAGGCGGGTCCTGATAATAATATCACGGTGTCCCAGTGTCTCCGTGCGGACCGCGCCTGTGTCTCAAGTTCTTCCCTTGGAGCGAGCAGAGCCCTGCCTGACATCCGGCAAGCCACAGCCAGCTTCATTCTCACTCAATACGTAAGTAAAAGTGGCGGGGAAGACAAGTCGAGCCTTATGAGGACTACCTCTGGAGACACATCCATTGGGGACCCGGCCGTGTTTGAGGAAAGGCTTATTATCCGTTCATCCACCCAGACGCGGCACCGGTCGATGCATCCAATATTAATATAATGGCTCCGGGAGCTCCCCCAGTCGGCTGCTGAGACTAGGCTTTCTTCTTCTCCTCCTCTTCTCTCGTCACTGGACGGATGACTGGTTAGCGGAAACAAAGCTTTTGTTTCACCACAGGGGCTAAAAATGTACACACAAGCTCTAACTAAAGTACTCTGGAGGGGATTTGTTTATGCGGCTATGCAGGGCGGGAAGCAGAGCAGAGAAAGAGAGAGAGCGCAAACATGAGCCGGATAAACACCTAATGCATGCACTCCATGTAACTACCTGGTTATACAGCATACAAGTACCTACAGGGCGCTTAACTATGCATATACCTATACCTAACCCAGCAAATGAGCTCAGGAGAAACAAGGACAGGAATAGGACGGGGAAAAGGGAATAAAAGCAAGTAACTAGTTGTCAAGGTCTAGACTTAGACTACATCGACCGTTCGGCATGACCCTGCCTCGCAGATGAGCAAAAAGTCCTTGCCCTTCGCAGACGAGAGCTCCTTGAACAGCGAGTTTCGCCCGCGGAGCCAACTGGATGTATCTGTCCGTGAACGATCAGGATCAGATTTGGTAGCACGAACATCGACCATGGAGAGAACCGCGGCGCTAGTCGATGCGGTACGACCTGCTTCAGTACGTATCCTGCGTATCAGATCTCTCTCCGCCTTCACCCTGTCCTCTCCGGTCGCTGTTGCTCGTCCCAGAACACCCGTTACGCTCTTTGTGCCTATCTCCAGGCCGACGATGACATCCAACATGCCAACGAACAGGAAGGGATGCTGCATGATCTCTACCGCGAAGGCGTGGCATGTTTGTCTGGCCTTGAGCTTGTAGGACTCGTCCTCCAGTAACGTGGACAGCCGCAGCAGGTTCTGCGCAATCACACCGTTGGTGGACGGGGTCGCAGAGTCGGTTCCTGTCTTGAGACGGAACAGGGCACCGGGCGTGTCAGTCACCGCCTCAGAGGGGGTCATGTAAAAGCCCGTACAGATACTGCTATCACTTGCCGAGACGGATATGAAGTACTTGTTCAGGTACTCTATTTTAACCGAGCTGTTAGTTAGGGCACTCTCATCCTTATTTTCTTCCCACGTTTAATTAAAAAAAAATAATAATTTAGAAGACGGGCCGATCTTCGAGCTTGTGCAATAATTGGCAATAATCGGAAACTCACGTTGCAACTTATCCGCAAATTGTAAATGCGCATCATCAAATGTAGCTTCGTAGAGCTGGAGTAAGCCGGATATGAGGTAGGCATAGTCGTCGGCAAACCCAGGCGTGTTCCCTCGGGAGTCAGCACGGTAGATTCGCCAGAGTTGGCCAGACTCGGCATCAAACAGGTTTTCCTTGATGAACTTGACTGCGTTGCTGGCCATAAGCTTGCAGTGCTTTGACTTTTCCTCATCAATATCTTCCAGCAATATGGCACACTTCGCCAGCGCACCGATCACGAGTCCATTCCATGCAACAATGACCTTGTCGTCTAGTTCAGGCCGTACCCGCTTTGTTTCCCTATACTCTCGGAGTTTCACCCTAGAGGACTTTAGTATCCGTATCGTCTCCTCCTCATGCAGCCCAAACTCCTTTGCAACTTGAGCTGGGGTTGTCGCAATCCTTAGGACGTTTCTGTTCATGAATTCATCGTGGGGGTCATTCACTCGCGCCACATTTCCGTCTGGAAGAACGCCCCAATGCCGTGCACAGACGTCGGCATCGCGGTGGCCCAATATCTGTCTTAATTTCCTTTAGCGTCCATACATAATAAGCTCCTTCTCGCTTTTCGGTATCTTCGGGCTGGGCTGCTGTCTGCGTCTTCTGATGAGTAGAAACATCCC